CCAGCTAACTAAATACCATATGGCCAAATTACAGTAATAAAAACAAAGCCATAATTGGCAAAGCCGCACAGTGACGTAAATTCTACTGATTAGCTGTACATACATACATACATACATACATACATGTGAGTCAATAATAAATACCAGTAATTTGATATACATACATACATATGTACATATGTAGAATAAACAAATGTTAATGTAAATATGGAAAACCATGAACTTAAAAATGCACATTGCGTTTTTATTGCTTATAATTACTTTAGTATTTACACATAACTTACACCATTGAAGTGCTCTGTTTCCAAAGAAGTGGCGAAGATTTTTGCGATCGACCAAATAAATGTAATAACAGCAGGGCAGCCTGTAAAAATGAAAGCGCATAAATATGCTTAGTACAGTGAGAAAATATAAATTGGATGTAAAAGTATGTATATGATTTGTTATGAAAGGAAATGCAATCCAAATACAGGGTGTCCGGTGGCAGAATTAGGAATTAATAACTAAATTAAAAAAGAATTACTAATGATAAATGTTTATTTCAATAACTATTACAAAGAAGACAAGTGCGGATTTTGTTTTTTTTGAAAATTATTCCTCTAAAAATGTTGACCGTTACGTCGGATACACTCTTCAAATCTGACCTCCGTACTCCGAGCCACTCGTTGGAGAAGTGATGTTGGGATACAATTAACCTCACGAACGATATTTTTTTAGTGCTGAGATGGTCGCTGGGTTTTTTTCGTAGACTTTACTTCTGCGGTATGCCCACCGAAAAAATCCATAGGTGTAAGATCGTCGAAGGGGTCGTCGTAGGGGAATATTGTCGTCGAATATTGTAACGTGGACAAGATCTACCACGATCAGTTGCACACTAGTCACTGACCTTAAATACGCTTGGATTGCGAACGCATGTTGTTTACCCGTCCACTGAGACATCGTTATTAAATAACCCGCACGAATGACGAAGCTTACGCTGTGCCCACCCCGCCGATACGCTCAGAGGTTAGGGAGAAACTGTAAATCTAAAACCCAATTCTGCCACTGGACACCCTTTACATATGTTTAAAATAATATTTGATAAGAGAAAGCTACACACGAACAAATGCACGGAAATGTGCAAAAAAAAATTAATTAAATAAATGAACAAACCCTAGAAAAAATTACTTTAAAAATAACACAGGGCAACACTGATTTTGGTGCGGCAAATGTTAAATCCGTTTTTGATAGACTTTTTTGAGCTGATTACGAATCCGTAATTATAATGATTCCATCACGTACAGATTTTGAGAAAATCGTGGTCAAAGTGTCAAAAAATCGGGGTTTTTTCCATGATAAAAATATAGTAAGGTAGAACCGCTGAGAGTCACTTTCAAAATTCTTGACGTTTCCAAACAATATAATTTTTAAATTTACTCACAAACTCACACACACATTTTCATTTTCAATCTCAAGCAACAACAATTTCGAACAATTTCAATTTTTTATTTTCACTTTTATATGATTTTAAAATGTTGGCAAACCTCAAAAAAAATCATGGCCGACAAATTGAGAGAACGGTTCTACCTTGCTATGTTTTTATCATGGTTTTTTCCAATATTTGAGAAGCTCGAGCAAATTTTACTGCTCAATAAATGACTATAAGTGACCATAAATTCAATGTGCAGGAATGGTATTTTCAAGGATAGTAGTTCTTGCTGTAATCTAAGCCTAAGTGGAAGGTTCTATCACTTTTTTACTCTTTGCTAGAGCTTCTCAAATATTGCAAAAGCCCGATTTTTTGACACTTTGACCTCGATTTTCTCAAAACCTGTACGTGTTGGATCCTTTGTACTTACGGATTCGTAATCAGCACAAAAAAGTCTATCAAAAATAGCTTTAACATTTGTCGCACCAACATTTTTTTTCATTTTTGTTAGCCTGTGTAATAGGTAAAATATGCCAAGAACGAAAAAATAAAACGAAAGGTTATAGTAAAATTATTAAAATAAAATTTAAAACAATGAAAATAAATGTGTATGCTGCATCTTTATAAAAACACAATTATACACACCAAAATTGTATAGAACATGACAATACTTACCCCAGCCGATGGCTGTATATATGCCAAATCTAATATTATCTCTGGAAAATGTTTGTACCACCAGCGTGTAGAGATAAAGACCTGCAGGAAAATTCACATCAAATAAACAACCAGTGACAATAGAATTTACATTTAACAATTACCTTCGACAAACATCCAGAAGAAGTTTGTTAGATTGAAATAATGGAACATCATAACCAAAATAATGCACCCGGCTTCACTGGGATGCTCGGTCATCTGCAGAATTGAAATTGAAAAAGTCATAATTTAATTTAGTTAGTCAAATCACCCCCGCGGTCATGCAGCGGAGCAGCACAGCACAGAAGCATAAACAATAGCTGTAATGACCAAGTAACTTTGTTTTGTTTTTGTTTTTTTTTTCGTTTTTTTGTTTTAGTTTGTTTTGTATTTTTATTTGCAAAAGTCTTGCCTTACCACATGCAGGCACATCGTCAATATCCATAATAGCGCGGCGAGTATGTATGTAAGGAATAAATTCGCGTGTATGGTGTTGCGCAGGCATTTCAAGTCTCTGTGAAAATTATAAAAATAAATTAAAAAAATATACAAAATAGATCAACATTAATGTCTATATCTTATATGACTATATATTTATTTAAGCTTATTGCTTCAATAAAATTAAATTTATAAACAAAAATGCATACACACACATTTCCGCTTTATGTTTATTTTATACGAGAATATGCAATTTTTAAATAAAAGTGTTTACTTTACTTACTTAAAGAAATAGAAAACGATAAGCGCCAAAATGAGCGATGCTAAACTTAGAAAATATCCAACGAAATATATGTAGGAGGATAATTCAACTGTGGGCGAAATATCTGCAAAAAATATCGATGGTTGGCATTTCATGTAGTCGCTGTAATTGTCCCAAACACCATTCGCCGAGCAGTGACGCGTTACATTCTCTATGGGATAGAAAGTAATGGAAAGGAAAGTTAAGGCATAACCGATGTGTATATGTGCAAATAAAAGCGCTTTGAGTATGTATGTATATTTAGATAAAAAATATGCTTTGAGATTATGTATTAAGCTACACAAAACCGCAGATACATAGAGGCAGCATTTTTCAAAGAAGAATACAATTTTTACTAGTAAGACCCTTAGATTTTATTAAACCACCTAATCGAATGGTAGTGGATCTACGATTTTAGTTTTTCATATCCTTTTAAAGATTCCACAGTTTAGAAGAACGGTTTCTATTTCATTAATCCAAATTAACTACCGTAGATACAAAACGAGAAGCGCTCATCAAAGCACGCCGACAAAAACAGGTACCACAGAGTTCACCTGTGACATAAAAAGCCCAGTATTCCACGCTACGACTTATACATAAATGCAATTCAAAGGGTAGTTAGACTGGTAGTGGCTGTCTTCATCCAGAAAAGCATCCCAGTATGCAGAAAGTGAAGCGTTCACCAAATATACCCTCTGACAGCAGGTACGTACAAGTATACACAGAAAGCTGAGCAGCGCCGAGCTAAGCAAGGGGTTCACACAGAACGAGGCGGAGCTCTTCGCGTGGCATCGGCTGCAAAGATTTTCCAAACCTTACCATAAATGAGAAAAGTGACAAAATACAGCTTTGCTTTCAGCTTCAAAACGCTTCTGAAAAAGCACACTGGTGGTTCCAAACTTGAGGATGAAAGCACTGGCATGTATAGACCTAGGTTCTCCTGAAAATGGTGTCAAAGATAGGGTACAGTTGCAAAAATGTACTAGTAAAACTAGGAGCCAACAACTGGGTAATCTGATGGTGGCTTCCGGGCCATGAGGGCTTCGATGCCAACGAAAGGGCTGACACTCTAGCGAAATGCGGTGCCGTACGGAGCCTGGTCGGCCCTCAACCTTTCTTTGGTCCATCCAGGGGTTACACAGCAAAACGTCTAAGAGGATTGGAGAGGGAAAGGGTTTAAGAACTATCACCGGATACCCTGACAGGACACTGTAGACTGAGGTACATCTAAAAAAAAAAAATGGTAGTTTCTGAGGAGACGAACTACAGGTTTTGCGGGCTAGAGGAGGCATATAATATGTGATTGCCCGCCTATAACTCCACTCCATTACGTCCTGAAGTGCTAAGTTTCATTAATAGCCGAGGTTAGCAACGCCCTAATAACAATGATATTATCAACCAGGAATATAAGCTGATCTAAATCTTAACTATGCATAAATAATTCCAAAATCGACTAACTGATAAGTCAACGATTTTATTTGCCTTTGACAGTGATTTGCTTTAAATGATTAATTAATTACTTACGTCAATATTTGATGTCCTAATAGTAAGCGCGTCAAGCTTATGTTTCATTCAGTAAAATATAATCCCTGATATTATTTAGCGGACACATGTGACTAACCAATTAAATACATACATATATTTTGTTATCACTTTCAAGGGCTTATCAAGAGTGAATTCATTAGGAAGTGTAGTACTACTACACAACGAATTTCTAGCCAACAAACGAATTCCCGCTCACTTTCGAATAGCAAATTTGTGCCGTGCCTTACCTGTTGTATTGTAAAGTACGCCTTTGAATTCTGCAAAACATGGCTGTTTGGCTGTTGTAGCTGCCGCTGTAGCTGGCCAACAGAGTACTGTGTCAAAGAATGGCGGGCAGGTTAAATTGGCAACGATGCGATCGGTCGGATGTCGCAACTAAAAAGAAAGAGGGGAAAAATATTTATTTAACAGAAAACGTTTAATTAAAAAAGTGGACACTTAAAATTATTATTATAGTTAAGGAGAAATTTTACCACCAAGCACATTAGTCTAATTGTAAGATATTGAAATTTTAGAATTCATCGTCCTTGTATTAAAAATTAATGCACTCACTCAGCTTGAGGCCATCGATCGGCAATATGCTAGCAAACATAATTCTCATTTCTATTAAGGAAAATAACATTTTGCATTTCTATGCCGACAACAGACATACTTAAATGAATACCTAAATACCTAAACATACATATATACACACATATGCACATGCATGTTACCTCGCAGCAATATTGCGCTAAACAACTATGGCACAACTGTTGAATGTTGACTAATTAATTTGTGACCCACGGCGTATACTTTATTGCGTTAGCTTGTGGCTGCAAATTGCTGGCTTTGCAAAGCTGACAGTTACGGATGTACAGTGACGAGCAAAACTGTAACATGGAGTAACACTTTTTATATCAGCTGTCGCTATCTTTCCAAGTTCTAACGACATTCATACTGTTGTTGTATATTTTTATTGGTACATCTTTGCTTCCTCTGTCATAACGATTTGAAGTCAATTCAACAACATTAACAAAACCAGCAGACAAAAATGTAAATTAAGGCAAATGTTACAGTTTTGCACTCATATATTTTTAATAACTTTTTGACAATTTTCACAAAAAAAAAGAATTATTAACACAATGTTCAGTATGCTTTTGCTTTATTTAGTTCCTGGTTGCAATTTGGCATACCTAATGTGTATGTCTGTAAAAATTCTGGAGGTATAGCCTCCCATATATCCTTGGTGTGCTTTCACAGCTCACGTACTCCATTGGACGGACTTGGATACTTAGTAAGATGCGCTTTTAGTTGATTTCGCAAATTCTCGATGAGATTCATGTCCTCGAATTGTGGAGGTCATTTCAAATTAGCAGATTTCTGCTTTTGTTCCAGTCTTTGCGAACATGTGCAGTGTGTTTTGGTTGCTTTTTCAGCAGAAACTCTAATTTTTTCGACTACATCTTGCAAATTTTGTTGAAATATGAGCAGATACTGTTCCTTACGCATAATACGTACAAACGGATCAACAACATTTTTGAAATACAACCAGAAACTAATATTGACCGACCACTGTGATTCACAGTTTGCTTTACATGATGCGCTTAGGCTTAATTTGGGCCTTTGTTCCAATACCATGCCCGGCCATCTGCTTAAAAGCTATTAATTTAGTCTTGTCAGACCACATAAGCCTCAATTAAATCTTAAAAAATGTGTTTTTTATTGCGTTATGTAAGGCCTAACATATCCCAATAGGCAACGGTCCGGTTTTCGCGCGATGCAGCAAAACGCTGCCCCACTCGCACATGTATTTTGATCAAATTTGCTTTTTTCTTCTTTTATGATCCATTTTGCTCAATTTGGCAATTTTTCGCCTCACTATCTACTGATTTGCATTCAATTTTAATACCTTAAGCGCTTCAGTAGTAGTGCCTGCAGCGCTACTTGCAACTAAGTTCACAAGATATCGGACTGTAATATATTTTGACAGACTTCCTTTGTCCTTAGTAACACTTTAGGCTATATTTTTTCTCAGTCTTAACATTTTCATGTGCAAACTCCACAATTTTTTGCCACTTTTCGTGCGGTCCCGCCTTTCCGCAGTAAATCTATTATTTACATTTATAGTTCCTGATTAACTATATTATTTACTGGTGATCACTTCTTCAATAAACTACAATACAGAAAAAAGTCATCTGACTTCCAACTAAGTAAGAGATAACTGTCAAATGCAAAACTGAGAGTGAGTGCAAAACTGTAACATTTGCCTTAACTTACATTTTTGTCTCCAGGTTTTTTTATTGTTGTTGGATTGACCTCAAATCGTTATGAGAGCGGGAGTAGGGGTGTACCAATAAGAATATACAACAAAACTATGAAAGTCGTTAGAACTATGAAAGATAGCGGTGGCTAAAATAAAAAGTGTTACATCATGTTACAGTTTTGCTCGTCACTGTATGTATGTACATATGTGAAAATGCTTGCGCAAGCATTTAATCCTGCGGACCATGCATGAATATTCCCATATACTTTATCAGCACTGAAATAGCTACATACATATTAGCATCGCTACATACACCAGTATTATACGCGAATAAGGAAAAATTGGGTAAACATGTAAAATGTGTTAAATTTTGATTAAAGTTATTTATTTATTATTTTAATTTGTGAGTTTCTGTTTCCTCTTTGATTTCATTCATTAATTGAGTTTCTTACGATTATTAAAGTGATTAAAGAATTTTGTAGAGATTTTGACTATATGGAAATGATCGAGCATTTTTTTAAAGCATTGAAAATTTCAACTTCACTAACGTGTCCTAGCCAATTGATTATGACTTAAAATTTACGACTTCAAAACAAAAAGATAAAAAAGGTACAGGTTGCAGCTCGCTGATACTGCAAATTGAAAGCTCCTCGAGGGTGCTTCAATCCTTCAAACGAATATCATATTCTCAATAATTTTCGTCAATGGTGAGATTAAGGTGGTTGACACTCTGTACAGCCATCAAGAAAGTCACTCCAGTCACCTACTTAGGTCTAATGTGATGCCATTTGAGCGAGTTCTTATTCCGTTCCTTGAGTTTTTCGAGTGATACAATTACGAAGCCTTGAAGATTGCGAATGTCTGCAGAGTTCAGATCAGCCATTGGAAGATGTAACTATGTATTGAAAACAATAAAAAGTAGAGGAAAATCAATTAGGATCATGGTCTTATAAAGTTTATCGTTGATACTTAACAAGATCTGCTTAGTAGCGCTCTCTGATTCGTCCGTCTGTTCGTTGTAAATTCAATGAATGCTAATTTCGGTGTTTGCATGTGGTGCAACTGTGTGTACCTGTCTGCTGCACAGCTTCTGGATGTTTCACTGTTGTAGATTACAAACCTGAACTGAACCAGCCTCGAAGACGCTGCAGTTGTGAGGAAACCGTTTGCTGACGTTCAGTAAGAGCTCTTGTGAGTAGATCCTAATACCCTCAGTAGTATGCAGGCCAACCACTGGAACTGACGATGTGCCGACAAACTATTAGCGACATACATAGATAGTCTATTACCAACTTCACACAAACACTGCAATTCAATTCCCACCCATCACAGAATAAGGGCTTGAGGTGTGGCGGGAGACCGGCCTAACTCTGCTCCAACTAATGCATAAGCATAAGCAATTCCCGACACCAACCATCTTTTCACCTTCCCCCTCAAACTAACTCAGCTAGGAGCCCTCTCCCTTTGGTGTTACCACGTGGAAACAGAACGTTTTTTGGATCTACCGTTAGTTGATCGTGACGACAACATTTCTAAATCTAAATTAGCTAAAAAGTTTGATAAAATTTCTAGGTATACACTTGCCTATCCAGTTTGCTTCTATATATGGACTCTTATACATGTGTGCACATCCAGTGTACTCTCTATGGGTGGTTTTGTCTTTCCAGGAATGATCAATAAGTTTCCGCTTGCAGTCCAATTACACCGAAGTATTCAACATTTGTAGACCTTTGTGTAAGTCGGACTTCATTGATAGGCATGATTAATGTTAAGTTTGATCTCCACTCTGAGGGCTATTTCGCATTGAATATTCAGTTTAGTAGAGTTGGAAAATTGGCACTGCGATAGGCTATGTTATGGAAGATGCTGTAACCCATTAGCGTCAAGCAGTCTTTCTAGAATTTTACGAATGAAGAAGGTAAGGCTTATTGATGTAAAGCTTGAAATGATCTATAGATGATAGTGAGCAAGGGACATAGTGCTTCGACTGCTTTTTGAATTTCAGTGGGGAATATACCAGATTACCTTGAAGAGTTGTAGGGTTTAAATGTTTTGAAACTTTTTTTTACGAATTGCACAATATTCATTGCGGAGTTTAGGGAAAAGTAGTTCGTTTGCTTTAGGTTCCTCAGTGAGTACGTCTGGTATTTTGCTGCAAGATGAAGTCCATTCGCCGTCTGGATTTTGGATATAGTTTTGGGCAACTGTAGTTTTTGAAAAAACCTTTCGTAATCGGTTGCCTTCAGAGTTCTCCTTGATGGATACAGGATTTCTTTTGAGCTATTTTCGCGTATCAGTATTCCAAGCTGAAACTCAATTTTATATTATGCTTCGTCAATTCTTTGTAGTCGAAGGTCCCAAGGACACTGGACCTAACGTACTTAGAGTTTACTTTATAGGCGTTGGAGATAATATTTATTGATGAAATTTGCAGACTTTTTTCAACAGAAAAAAATAGTTTTTTTTTTGATGATCTATGGCCTTATAACAATTATATTCAACAATTTTATTAGTTATAGCTATTTCGGATATCACCACATCTCTTCATCAGACTTCTTCAACTAACTAACCATGTAAACTGTTGTTGCTTTTTACACTTTTTCATTTGTTACGCCAACTACAAACAAGCGCAGCTATTCCAGTGCTATTTAAACTTGATCATGTGGTTGTTGTTTTTGTAAATTGTGTTTTTTCACAAAATTTTCATTAAAAACGGCCTCAAGCTCAAAAAAAAAATACTTTCAAAAACTTGTCTTCAGTTTTTAATTACGACCAATTTGTCCTTCTGCGGGGAATAAAAAAAAAGACAATTTTTGATGCATTCATAACATAAAAATGTTGTTGCTAAGAAATCAGAAAAATTTGTGTCCCGCCAATGCAGCTCAAAGCATAAACAAGTCCGAGTCCTGCGTTACTAAAATGTAAAGTGTTTGCAAACTTTATTAATTTGGTGAGCAGCAAAAGCGACAAAGAAGCAATGGCTTTACGACATATTTTCTTTGCCAGAAAGTTCATGAAATCATAAGTCTCCATACAATTCCGCACCGTTCAGAAATAAATTATGAAATTCCTCCGAAAAAACCACAGACAAAATTCAAACAGCAACTTGACAAAAGTGGCTCATTCATTTTGGTAGGTGTGCACGCAAGCATACACAGATATAGACATACATATACATACTATATGTACACGCATTTGTGCTCATCATTCTACCAGGATGATTCTATTTATACGGCTCGCCCATTTTGCGACTCAATGCACCCACACACAGCAAAAGCAAAGCAATAAAATAGCGCCATAAATGACTGGCAAAGAGCATTACGCACGAGTGCGTTTGTACTCGTAGATATACATATGTACATACATAAAGAAAAAGTGGAATTTTACTTACCGCATAGTAGTTGGTGTCGCCAGTGAGCAGGTGGTGTTGCTCTACTTCTTCCTGTTTTTTCTGCAGATTATACGTCTGCAAGAGTCGCATACAATGCTCCTTCACCGTACGATTTATGTAAATATCATTCGCAGCGCTCGGCGGCGACGCCAAAATATCGCTTACCATAGCTAGCGTTTCAGTTGAGAAATTGGCTATAATATCTGTAAAATCGAGTGCAGTCGCATCATCCAAGCTTTCAACAACAACTGCACGCACATCCGATATGGACATTTTATTGACTGCACGCGGCGTTGCAGTATTTTGTGGCTATTACTGTTGCTGTTGATGTTGCTGCTGTTGTTGTTGTTGGCGGTAAATGGTATTTGACTTGAGGCATCCGGTGGTTGGGTGGCGAATTCGTGTGGCCACAATCGTTGTTCTTATAGCTTTGGCTAACTTAATGGCTTTGTTGTGCACTTTAGCCGATAGCAATTAGTTTGTTCTTATTAACAGGTTTATTGTTGTTGCGTTTAATGCAATTCGAGTTGTAGTATTCCTGTTGACACAAGCGCCGGCAGCGGTTTATTGCGGCTGCTTGTTGGGCGTGGCAGTCATTTGACCTACGAATTGTACGATTATAGTCCACATTGTTCGCGTGTGGGTGTGTGTGTGTGTTTTTTTTTTGTTTTATACAACTCTATTATGCTTTTCTTCTTTTCCTATTTCCTCACTATTTAGAAGGTGTGCTATGGTAATTACTAATTAGCCTTTATCTAATGTAATTGTTCGTGGCGCTGTTACCCTCTATAACACTCGCGAAATTCGAATGAAAATGAAATTAACGAAATGAATTTTCACTTTCTGTGGACGATGCGTTGGTTGGTTCTTATCTCTTGACAATAACTGTAAATAAAACAGAAACGAAAAACAATCAGAAAAAGTTGGCGGGTATTAAGTATAATGAATAAGTAAAAGTTTAAGAGTAAATAATAACCACGTGGGTGAGATTTTGGGAAACATACACACACATACATAATTCTTACAGTGTGCCACGAAAGTGCTTAGATAAACACTAGTTAGGCCGCACCACCTGGGTTTAAAATATTGTTGCAAGGAAATTTCGAAAATCGTTTTTTTTTTGGCCGCATTTTTATATATTTTAGGTGGCACTTATATTCGGCAATTTGTTTTTTTTTTTTTTTAAATAACTCTACTAGAATTATTAAAATCCTTCCTTGGCAAAAAGTTTAACAATTTTATGGGCTGGTTTCTTCAACTCATCTTAACTTAGTTTAGCCATTTTTTGGACTTAAGCTAAAAGCTTGCGTACTTTTTATTCTGCTTATTCTTGACTAGGTCCAAAAAATTGGCTAAACTAAGTTAAGTTGAGTAGGAGAAACCAGCCCTAAGTGAACTTTAATTTACTGACATTAAGGTGATAAGAACTCAGATCTGGTAAGGTTAATGAAATTAGGTACAAAAAATGTTCTCCCCGCGACAAGAACATCGGTATATCATTATTTAAGATCCGACTGTAAAATCCGAAGATATGACAAAAAATTTAAAAAAGCCTCTCCTACGTTCGGCAACAAAAATTCCAAATTACCTTCGAATCAAAATACTTCCATAGCAAAAGTTTAATAATTTTTGGCGAGATTTAATTCACTGACATTAGGCGATACGTTGGGATAGTAGGAACTGCGATCTGGTGGAAAATACTAGAATATTTTTTTTTTGGTAATCAATTAAATTTTTACCAATGTCTTTTTTTGTTGAAACTCTCGTAAACAACGCGCGCAGACGACAGCACTCAGACTATATTCCGTTCATGGTTTGGTTTTCCTGTTTCCTCTAAACAGTTTTAAACTTACGCGATTCGCGAAAGTCAAAGTAAATTTGCTGGTTGCTATATAGCTCAGATGATCGCCTTTTAACACAACGCGCTGCCAACAAAACATCATATCGAATGCTTGTGATGACGGAACAGAAGAACAAAACGTTTTCCGTCGCGCGTACTCTTCAAGGCAGGAAGGGAAAATGGCGTTGCCAATTACAGCCAGTTGTTTAAACAACAAGAAATTTCACACTAGACTATCTGCACTTAAAGTCTATATCAGCTTTGCCTGCCTGCTGCCTCTGTCTAATTACCAGCTATTTTCTTGGCATCCAAAATAAAACAAGTACATTGTCCAACTATTTTACATTGTTGAACCCGACAGCATAATTTCAACAATATGCAAGCTCGCACTGTATCAAAACAGCAACCATTTACTTTAAGCCTATAGTTGGATTTGAAGGCCGCCTCGCGGATTGAGACAGTAAGTGACGACGGTATTTTTAGCATTGCATCCACAGCAGCCTCAGATGTTGTAGACATATTGACCTCATTCTGCCTAATGACCATCGGCGCGAGCTCTGCGCAAATCAAAAGCACAGGATATACATACATACTCCACCAAACTTAATAGTACTCATACTTTCCTGCATGACTGTAAGACATACATATATTGTTTATAAGCGCGACATATTCACATATACATACATACATACATATGTGCATATGTGTGTACACAAATTCGCACAAGGGCGTAGGTAGGTAGGGGCAACTCTCAATCACGCGGCTGTCCCACATTGTCATATTTCTATATGGAAGAACTAGCGCCGGTTTCGAAACCATTTTATTTCTGCCCTATTTTCGCATAAAATTCGCATATTTCTATATTGAGCTGCACGACACTCTTCGTCATACCCGCTGTTTCTGTGTGGGCGAGGAGATTGGGAGATGGATTATACATATCTAATCAATGATAAGTTTATTGTTCAATCAAAATGAGAGTCAATTGGGGAATTTCTCGGCTGCCTTTTGTGGCTGCAAATTTTCGACATCGAACTTTCGTCCCGTCTATGACAAAGTTATCAATTGGGGTTTTCTACATTTGAAATGGGGCCAACCAAGTAGTTTTATAGATCTTTCGAGGATATGGTGTCTGGTACTACTAACTACCAAGTTCATATCCGCGGATAAGTCGAGGAACCTCTCTTTTAATCTCATTTAGCTTAGATGTGGATTGTGGAAATTCGTTCACTGTTTGGGGTGCCAACGAATGCTGCAAATTGCAATCTTCCTCCTTCCATCTCATTTTCTCTACAGTGGTAAAGTGAACACGTTATTTATCTAAATAAGCCATCCAGCAGTTGGATAGAGACACCTGTCCTATGGCGCATATCCGCAAAGTGTGGTCTTTGTTTCGTGCGTGGGTCTCCCAAGTTACGGCGTTAATTAACCGAGGTTGTTTAAATATTTTCATTTTGTGTTTTATCTAGAGTATTTAATTATTTTTTTATTTACATAGCGAGCTGCTTGCTCCAAGTCAGACGCACTTATTGGTTAACAGAATCTGCTGGCCTCAGCGGATCCTTAAACCGAATAAGACGGAGTGGTTCCCTCTCTATTTATAGTGATCCAAGGCTTCCGCGAGATGATTGAGAAGAAAACAATTGAAGAGTTTGCTGATAATATGTAAAATGTAATCTGTAATTCGTATATTAATCTGTGCCTCCCCCGTTGCTTTAGATTGTCGCTACGCCCTCGAATTCGCACGTAAGTAAGGAGTGCGATTAGATAAACTTTTTCTATATGAGGCGTGCAATCACAAGGCCGTACAAGAGAATTACCTGTTCATCAACTAAGATCCAAGGTTTTTATCAAAAGTTTGATATCTTCTTTTTGATAAAGATCTTAAAAATCAGTGCCAGTGCGAAGATATTTTGATAAGTAGATATATATGTATGCACATATGTATTTATACTAGTATACGTGTACAATAATTTGGCCGGCGCATGGAGCTTGTTATTGCGAAATATTTGCAACCAGGTATGTATGTATATACACTGCCGGAACAAAGTATTGGCACAGCAATTTTTTCACAATACATGCAACAATTTTTATTTTTATGTCCTTCCGCCAGTTTTATTTAAAAATATGGTTCATTCTACAACAAAAAACGTAAAGTTATAATTCCTAAACTTTGTGCAAAACTCGCGAAAATTCAGCAAATTTTCAACTTTTTAATCAGATTTTTTAGAATTTTTTAAAGTTTGCAGTTTTGTAGTCCATTAAATAAAATGCGAGTTCGGAGTTAGTCAAAAATTTTAAAGGCTTTAACTGCTTTACAAATCGAAAATTTGTATGAAAATGTTACTTTATAAAGCTCTTTAAACCTACTTTATTTTTTTATGAATAAGGCGATTAGAGTTTATAGACATCAATCTACCGCAGTCACGAGCAACCGTTATAACGAGTGTGTACAATTGGCTTTCGAAACAGTCACACTTGGAAATGAACGATCGTAAAATAATTGCCGTCAATTTTTTATTAAAAGGCACGTCAAACTGTTTCTTTGCTTTTAAAATTGTTCTTATCCTCAGCCGACCAAAAGTAGGTCGCGAGAAGAGTGTTCATCAAAATTTAGTAATGTAGCGGGAATTTCGAGTCGGAATTTTATCTGAGAATTCTAATAAAGTAATAAAATTATTCTTTTGATTTACCGCAGCTATCGAAATGCGTTCAAATATATGGCTAGACATCTTATATTTACTTATATATACATATGTAGTACATGCAAGCATACATGTGCTTATGTTTATAAGTATGTAGTAGTTATGCAAATAAAATTCTCATTTTTGCTGCTTCTAAGGTAAATCATGAATTGTGCTATTTAAAAAAAAAAATAGGCCAACATACTTTGTATGGAAGGAAATGCGTAACACCTTCGACATGGAGATGCCGCTTTTATATCGATTAAATCGAAAATCGATTAATCGAGCCCTACCGATTGCATTTTTTGCCGCTTTTTTAGTTCCGATTCGATCGGTGAATCGATTGAAAACAATTCGAGAATCGATATTCGACTTTTCGTCAATTGTTTCATATTGGACTACGATTTTCCTCAGAAAATCTATAAATTTGTAAAAAAAATTCTATTTGAGGCTGGTATCTACCCTTAAATAAAACATCTGGAGAGAGCAAAGACCAAAGAATTTAATGGCCTGCCTATCTCTCTCCTCCGACTGCAGAGCTCCTCAGGGTAGCCTCTTGAAAATAATTATACATGAAACTAAAAAATTGAAGTTCCAAATTTATGTGAATTTTCATACAAAATTTCAATCCTTAATTACTCTTTTTAGATAAAATTTTAGTACTTATGCAGTTTTGTAGCAAATTTTTGACTATAATGTGTAAAAAGGGTAAGTAGGAAGTGAAATATAGACAGAAAAAAAATAACAAATTAAAAACGCCCGCATTGCACAAAAGTATATGTTCGTAAGCTCCATTTTATAATACACTTCTTAAAGCAGTGGTTAATTTTGAAGTAAAAAATTAAATTTTCTCTCATTTCTAATAAAAAAAAAAACAAACACAATTTCAAACAAATTTAAAAATGTTATAAAATAGGACAGCGTTGACTTTTCCCTAGGCATTAAATGAAAATATTTTGATGAAAGGAATTTTTACAGACGTTCCCGACACCGTGGGCCATCTCAAGTCAGATCGATGTGTTGTTTTGTTTCCTTATAAAAATTAAATAAAATACGTTGAATGACAAAATATATGAATCGATCTTGGGAGATCGATTTAATTTTTTGGCGATTCTTTCCTGCATCGATTACTTATTTTTATTTCGATTCAAAAATCTATTTTTTGTATTTCGATCTGGCATCTCTACTTCAACAAAAAAACAATTATCAAAAATCAACGAAATGCATTCAAGTTTAATGGGTTTCAAACCAGCATACTCAAAAGATTCTAAAATTTTAAGCGAAATTTGAAATTTTGATGCAAATTTCTTGATATGAATTATTACTGTAAATGTTATATAAAGTTTGAGGATCGGATTCACATAC